TGCTATAATCGGCAATCATGTGCGCGAATTTATGATCCATTCCGCATACAGACTGGTTGCAAATGTGGTCATAACATGGTCTACAGAACTGTGGATAAAATGAAATACACTGACGACGCATCACCTGAATTGATATGCATTCAGGAATGCGCATGCCTCAGTGAATAATATGGAAGAAAAGATGGACAGTGCCTAGAAAAGAACGATATTTCGACGCAAAACGATGAAGTTTTTCTTAAGATCAATTCTTTATCAAAATATATTAAAATATAGTAGAATTTTCTGGGCGAATTTTTAAAATTTTAATCAACAATTATTTTAAGAATATTATTCTGAAAATTTTAGATGTGTTCATCGTAATGAAGCGGAATGTACTAATTCTCGCAATGAAAAGTACCAAAGGCTGAGTGTTAAAAATGATTTAGTTTATCTTTAGCTGCCTAAATATTGCACGAGAAGAGATATGAAGATTTTCACTTTATGAAGAAATTTCCGATATTCCAATCTGATATTCGATAAACTCGGTAAATGGCACAAATGAACAGTATTGAAGTTTTCAAAAAAAAGTATTCAAAAATTCAAAAAAGCATAGACGAAGATTATGTCAAAGTTATTTCTACAAAAGGAAGTGAATCTGCGAAGTTAAGTTTCAACTCCAATGGTATAACGCAGTCGAATTTTGCGACTATCAAAAAGTTTATCAAAAATGTGTTTTTATCAAACCTAAATTTCCATATTCCAATATTCCATATTCCATCTCAACAACAATTTAATAAAGCAACTTTCCATGTGTTGTGGTGAAAAGTAAAAATTTAGAATGCGCAAAAAAACTTACCCATTTTGCATATGGACGGGTCGATAAAACATAAGGTAATATTTCCTTTTGCCTTCACCGAAGCAAAACGCTTATCAATTGAGAAATTTTTCGAATCTGCGGTACAATGATTATCAGTTTAAATTATTAAGAAATTAAGAAATTATTAAGAAATTTTTCTGTAAGAAACTCCATATTGTTCGAAATTTATCAATGAAGCAAATGATGAAATGAGCAGAAACCGATAAGTCGATTTTCTAATTCGTTGAAATCATCAATCATTTCGTTCTTCCTTTTTCCAACTTTGGCATTCCGATCAACCATCGCAAATAATCGAATCGCTCATGTTTCGCCGATTTCGATTCGAATTTGATTGTTCTTATGCTTATTTTAGCTATGAAATTCCTTTATCATATCCTGAATAATAAAGGATGCGAGCATATGGCTTAAAAAACTTACGAAGTTAGTCAATTTTAGGTCACTGATGCCTGAGATGCCAATTTATAGTCGTCTAATTCCATTTATCACTGCGCTTTCCGGATTTTTGCTTCTAAAGTTCCACACATCCACTTAAAATCTTTTTTTAAAAGCCTTATTACTTTTTTCTTTTTGATAGTAAACTGCATTTCTCGATGGCTTTAATCTTTATAATCATTAATATTATAACATAACGACATTTATATCGTTAGATTATCTGAATGGTTGTCATCTCGCCTTCAATGGCTTTTCAGTGGCCCTATCATCTAGCGTAGTATCATCACTCATTTTAATAACTGTTTTCTAATTAATAATAAAAAAGGTGGCCTACAATTGCCTTCTCTCGGGCAATATGAATACTTTTGCCATTTTCATTCATCTGTCTTCGATGCTGTCCTGTTTAATATAGATTAATATAGATTTTTGCTTCTTATAGTTTACGAACTGGGTGACACTACTAAGGAAACGTATATGCTCCCTGTATATCTCATTCAATACCTCTGAAGCTGTTGCAATGAAGGCAAAGACAGAGGCCTGGAAACAAGAAATCGTCATTTCGCTAGAATGATTTACATGATGAATGTTTTAAAATAAGAATCCAAATTATGCCTAATATTACTGCTGAAATACAGAAAATCATCCTTTCCCCAGATAGATACTGATTGGACACTTAAAAAAGATTCAAATTACAAATGTTTAAAAAAAATACAAATGTTTACTAGTATCAGCACTATTCCATAATTTTTCCGTTACCTTTCAGCTCCCTGTTGAAGTGACAACACTAAAGGCTTGCAATGGAAGAACGTGTACACTCGTCGAAATTATCACTGATATTATGTGCTCATTGACAGACCAGAAATGTGGACCAAACTATTGAAACTATTAGAAAGCTAACAAACACAGTAGAACTAAACTATTAGAAAAATAGGGAACGTTAGAAAAACTAAAAAACTAAAAAACTAAAAAAATATAACTGAAAGCATGCTTTTAGCCATTTAATTTTCCTCACCATTTTTGGAATTCAAGCAAAACTATTTCCACTGCTAATAATTGTTATTGGTTAGACTGGTCGGATTAATCTGCAAACGCAGGACAAGGTCATTTCTAAAGCTGCTCGATCCATGCCATCCGTAATAACACACTGGAAATAATGAAAATAATTTTCCAGTCTTTTTCCACCGTCTTTGTCCATATACATCACTAAAAGTCACTGGTCGTTGTGAGACATCAAAATCTGCGTGTGCTTATGCAAAAGTCAATGTCGAAATCGAGCAAGATGTTCGAGTTGGATTTTTGCTGTCGGAATTCAGCAGAATATTCAGAGATGTGCCGAGTTGAAGGAGTTTTCGTTTTGGACTTATGCATTGTCACAAAGCAATCCTGGGCAATTTTCAAGAAAGTTTCCGAATGAATTTAAAAGCGAAACGAAATCTGTGGCACTCCAAGTACACAATGAAGATGAAAAATCACATGCTTATTGCTTATTAGGTTATAACTCAGCTATTTTTTAAAATCTAAAATCTAAAATTATAGAAAATTTGAAAAATTGAAACATTGCAGCTATTAGAAAAATAAGGAATGCAAGAGAAACTATTTAGAATGTTAGAAGCATTTGAAAAAATATCACTAAAGGCGTGGAAAAGATGTTAGAAAAATTTTAAAATTACAACTAATACTGTGAGAAAGTTGAAAAAATTTGAAAAATATAATTGAAGCGTTGAAACTATTAGAAAGCAAACTAACATAGTAGAACTAAACTATTAGAAAAATAGAGAACGTTAGAAAAACTAAAAAATATAATTGAAAGCAAAAGCAATAAAATATAAATGAAATATAATTGCTTTTATAAATATTGAAAATTAAATTATTATATTTTGCTCTTATGTTTAATTATAATTTTTTTAAAACGTTTTTTTCCATTTTCCACTTTTTTTACATTAGGCTAAACACCGCTAAACCTTGTAATCGACATGCAATGGCTCTTATTTATATATTTTTGTATATTAATTTAACAGTTGATGATATTATTTTTATGATATCAGTTCATATTGCCGAAAAGCGTTTTTAAGAGAGCGAAACACTACTGTTGCATACATGCAACGACTGATCATCAGCGAATGTTGCTTCGTATAATTTACTTTGGTTTTGCAGTAGTCAATAGTCAATAGTAGTCAACATGATTTTTTTTGAATGAAAAATTGAAAACATCATATTTCATATTTTTTTACAGTAACATGCAAAACCTTTTATTTCTCAATAAAGGAAATAATTCGATAAATGGAAATCTGAAATAATATAATTGTTAAGTGATATAAAAACGATATAAAAAAATTTACAAATCTGAGCGAAAAAGAATCGGTAAGAAGAGAATTCATTCATGCAATTTTTAATAAATAAAGCCTTAAATAATATTTCCCATTTGAATTGCCCTATGAATATTTTCAGTAGTTACTGTTTCTCTTATAAAATTTTGCTTTTTATTCCTTATACTTCTATGTTTTTCATTTCAATATTGGCTAAGACTTCTTCAACTTAGAAACGATTGGTCAAAGGCTGATAGCTTCTTAATAATGGAATCACTGGAATTTATCACTGGATAACTGATGAAGTCAATGCTAGCACAATGCTAAACGACATATTCAGAAAAAGCGATTTCGTCGAATAGAAAATTTTTGTGACAAGAGCATTGCGACTTACCAAATCATTTATTTATATATAACTTGTCTCCGTCTCTTTCGAAATTATTGGCTTCCTTATAGCGATTTCAATGCCCATGGCATTTTCTACAATGAATTGTTTTGCTCCTGTGATTTAACCTGGCACAGCCAAATCAAATTAAAAGAATACTTCGCGTGAAGGGTAGTTTCATATAAGTTCCATTGTTTTCACAGAACCGGAAATCTTTTATTTGTAAAATGTTTGTCATCGTTTATAAAGAAGTTTATTCGCAAATTTACAAATAAAACTTGTGTAACCAAATTCAATTAATCGCATTTAGTTTTTTTTTTTTTACCAAAAAGATGAAAATTCATTTAAATCGTTATTCTCAAATTTAAAATTGCATATAAATATATTTCAAATGTTATTTAATATTACCACCTGAAATACATTCATCAATCTTTAAATTTATTATCAGAGGAAAAAGTAATAAAATTCTTTTATATTGTAAATACGAATATGGTGGCCGTTTTGTTTTGGCTTTACTAGTAACCTGAAAAGAAACATTTTGCATTCGAGAAATGAGTTCAACTTTGAAAATATTTGATACTACTGGAGAGCGTCTTTTTAGTAATTTTTAGTTTAGATTCAAACAACTACTTTAGATTTAATTTCACAAGAAGTATGTTTTCTGCTTATTCTATAGAAATTTTCTTCGATTTTTTAATCCAACAGTATTTACTATTAATGACTTTACGCTGGCTTCGCTAGCTAGAGGATCAAAGTGTAGTCAACAATTCCTTCTACCATTGTCTAATTCCGTATATACATGAGCCACCTGAGAATTTAAAATTTCTTCTGACACTTATCAATTGAGTTCGAGATTGGTACCACTCATCCGGCGCCATCATAGAAAGCACGATATCAATTCTCGAATAAGCATCAGTGAATTTCACATGCAGAAAAGATTTGTCAAAAGTATGTTTTAAGAAAAATTTTTCGATTCATCAAATCACCAACAATTATTTTATTGCAGCTTTTAATTCCTATCCTATTCCAAGTCCACGGATTTCTTCACAGATCTTTCTCGTATAATACATCGTCCACCTTTTTCCGTATATTCTTTGCTAACACATTTGCATTGCTGAATGCATATTTCAGGAGAGTCATCGATGTATACTAATCGTTTAATAGTCTTATAGACCATATTATCACCACATTTCCGACCTGTTAGGGTGCAAAGTAGGTCGCGAATCCGCTTGCAGGATCGTCCAATACAATTTGATTGGGTCTGAAAAAGCAAAAGTGACACATAATACACATAACATAATTACATTACACTTTTTACAATTACATTTTTTACATTTTTTTACATTTTTTACATTTTTTACAATTTTTACATAACTGTAGAAATTTCAAAAATATTATTATATAAAAATAAGATTTAAAGAATACCTCAACCTCACGACTTTTCATTTATAAAGGACCTAAATTCATTCAACATTTCAATTTCAGTTTCTGCGTTAAACAAAGGGTAAATTTTCGATTCCCATGAGAAATAAGGAGCGATTTTCAACCTTTTCGATAGTTCTTTGAACGGGAAATTGTGGATGTTTGGAGGCAGATCGTTGGGTTGAAGTTGGTGTCGCTGATTCATTTCCTCTCGCAGGAAGGATGCATTGACCATTTGCTCTGACGTATTCTTCCCCCATACAAGAACATTTTTGAATGCAAAATTCACTACCATTGTTTTCAATCAATTTACTGATATTATTAAATATCATATTGGTACCGCAAATTTTACCAGTCAATGAACACGGAGCATTGAATATTTCTTCATCAAGTGCACACACTCTTCCCGCGCAGTGTTTAGGCAATATTTCACCATCAAACTGAAAAATTGATAAAACCGAACCTCTTTTTGGTCCGCTTAGCACTTTTTGTATTCTCTAACTATTGACCTATTTTGTTTAATTGTAATGAGTTTCTAAAATTATCATTCAATAATAATTTTATAATAATTATGAATAGTTAACTGTGCTAAATAATCGAAACTCTGATATCAATAATAAGAAGGACCTCAGTTTCCTTTCGCATCGGAACACTCTTTTCTTTAATGCATTGTCCACCTATTTTCGTGTATTCATTACTGTCGCAAGTGCACTGTTGAATGCACATCTTATATGATGATATACCAACTTTCATGCGTAAAGGCCCAACTATGGTCCTAAAAACCATATTTGGTCCACATTTCTGGTCTGTCAATGAGCACAGAGTATCGGTGATTATTTCGTCAAGTCTACAGATTCTTCCACTGCAAACCTTTGGTGTTGGCACTTCAGCAGGGGTCTGAAAATTAATTGAAATAATACTCTTATTTTGAAATAATAATACTTTGACCGAACCTTCAGATTTGCAAATAAATATTTATGTTTTCAAATATTCAACCTCGGTTAATTTTGTGAATTGTTGCTCAATCCCACTTAATTTTTGATGATGGAAACAACGCTTTTAATGCTTTAAATTGCTGTTGATATCTAGTACCATTAAAGAAAATCCAATTTCGATGAACTTTTTGTTAGTGCCAAATCCATCTGATCGCGATATACTGCTGAAGAAATTTCTAAAACTACTACTGTTATGAGAATTGTAAAATTTCACCTTTTGGGCAGTTATTTGAGCGGAAAATTCTTTGGTGACAAATCGTTGAGTTGAAGTTGGTGTTACTTTTTCAGTTCCTTTAAATAAATTTTCAACCGAAAGCTAAAAATGGTTAAAAAATTATTTTTGCTATCACTAAGCGTTTGATGCTTTTCATTGCGGAAATTGATATACCCCTCTTTATCGAAATGAACTTTTAATGCATCGAGACAATCTTAAAAGAATTTTTGATCATAAATTTCAAAATCATAAAAAAAATTTGGCCATAGTTCAGTATATTGTGGCAAAAAAATCGACACAACAAAAACCTCAGCTTCAATTCGCGTCGCAGTATCGTTCTTTTCAATGCATTGTCCATCTTTTTTTTCATACTGTTCACTAATGCATGCGCATTCCTGAACGCATATTAGTTCAGATGATACGTCGTCAGTGTATTTCATTTTGTCCACAGTTCTGTAGATCATGTTATGACCACATTTGCGACCAGTCTGTACGCAAAATGGGTCATAAATCCTTGCACATGATTGTCCAATACAGCATAAAATGGCCTAATGAGATGATAAAAATTAAGGTTCAGTTAAGGCGAAAGAAAATATAAAAGTGACTTTGACAATTATTTCTTAATTTTTTTAAAAAAATTTAAAACTTAAAACCCGAAAGCTTTCGTTAATTTAGCAGTAAATTGGCAAAATGTGTTAGTCCTTTCCTTGAAATAATATTATAACATTACTAAAAAACGAAGCCTATAAAAAGAAATAGAAATTTTACCAGAGTCGGAATAATCATAGTTCTAACTGAGGGTAATTGAGAGTGATAATTCTAAATGAGAATGACTGAGAAAAACTGTTGTGCTCTTCCAGTTTTATACTGAATTTTTAATTAATTCCACCCAAAAATACATCGCTATCACATGGACAATTTTCGGTGAATATTTCATAAAATATTTGCAGGTACGCTTGGAAATGAAGATTGACTTCACAGAACACTGCAATCTTAATTTTTATAAAAAATTTTATGGAATTTTGCGCAAAATTTTATGGAATTTAAAAATGATTTAAAAATGATTCTAAAAAAATCAAAGAGAATTGGAAAATAAAAAATAGAATAAATTTTCTCATCATTATATCCCGAATTTTTAAGTGCCGAATCTTATATAATTTTATCTTTGCAAAATGCAATTTACCATTTTGCTGTTTTCTATTATATTGTTTAATTAGTAATATTAAAAATAAGTTCTAAGAATATGAAGAAAATATAAGAAAAGAAAAAATAAGCCTTGAAAAGTTGGAGATTTTATATCTGCTCGGATTAACTATTTTCTAAATGCTAAATAAATCGAAGCGTAAGGTTATACATATTTGGTTGGTACTTCTATATGAATGGATAATTAGTGAATAAAAATAATAACATTTTTGTTAAGAAATCTCTAAATTTTATCTAAATTTTCTTATGTTGTGATAATTACATTTGATAACCTTTTATGTTATCAATTCTATTAGTGGTTGCAGAAATGAAAAATTTTTTATGCATAATTTTTAATTTCTCATAATTTCTCATTTAATAAAATCATTATTAAATGAGAAATTTGAATTAAATATGGTTGTGTCACAATTATAATGGTATGATGCTTGTTCAGTGAAATGAACTATGATGAATGTCGATTTTTGAAGTAATTTTGAAAGTACTTTGGTTGATTTGCCGTTGTATTTTTATAAATCGGCAGTTATTTCAATAGAATATTTTAAAAATAAATCGTATTTTAAAATTAAAATTAATCGCTAATCTTCCCATTTGTAAAGCACTCATAAT